GTGCTGGTACCAGGCATTGAGCTCAGGGCCTATGCTCTCTCTTGTCTTTTTTACTCATATGTGGTCATCAACCACTCGAACCAGGCCTCCAGTCCAGCTTCTTTGCTGGCTAATTGGAGATAGTACCTTTTCTGCCCTAGCTGGCTTCAAAACTCAGTTCTCAACTCTCACCCTCCTGAGTAGCTAGGATCACAGGTGTAAGCCATAGGTATCTAGGTGTAGGTAAAAGGAATTATACCTATTGAGATCAGAGCAAATTTGTTTTTAGGTTAAATTAAATCAGAAAAAAATTAAAAAACATTTTAAATATATTTATACACGTTTAATGTTCAGGGTGTAATAGTAATAAATTGTGAGTATAGTATTATTAAGCAAATTACAAATACCTAGAAAAATCAAAGCAGTTTCCCAAATAAACACTTTTTCTTTAGAGGGGAAACTACAGTCTTCAGCTTTTATAAAAATAAAAATTTTCAGGCACAGGCCTTTTTGATAATATTAAAATACATATTGAAAATATGTAAATGAGTTCAGCTTTTTCATAGATATGCCATGATCATGAATCCATAGTGAATCTGTTTACAGGCTAAAATCATTTGCAGGTTTTCTCCAGGTCAGGAATTCTCACAGTGCATGTGACATGAAAAGAGAAAAAACTTTCTTACTCTGAGTCTTTTCAACACAATTTCCATTCAAAAATTGTAACAAATTACATTGCTTTGTAAAGTAGATTTACTCTTTTGTTCCTACATGTTCCAATTAGAATTCTCTTTAGTGAAATTTAGAAGACCAAAAAACTGATTTCACAGCTGTGATTTTAATTATAAAAATTATACTACTTTATACTTCCTTAATTTTAACTCAGGTATATTTTTGACATAGGTAGATTCCTCTGAAAATATGTCCGATTGGAAAGGAAAATAAGCATAAATTGGAATGAGAAAAGGGATTTTGTTTAACATATTTTGGTAAATTAATGTTTTATAAAGTAAAATAATTTCAACATAAGTCATATCTTGCAGCTTATAATTATAGAGAAGTTTTTGACCCTTCAACTTGCTCAAGAGAGACATTTTTATAAATTTGCTATCAATTACATCATAGGGACTAAGGGAGATAAATTGTTGAACATAGGATTACTTTAGTCTTTATTGAAGTTGAAATATTATATAGGAAATGTTCTTATGTTTTTTGACTATGATATATGAACTATCAAAAACCAAATAAAAATACATTACTGGAGAAAATGAAAGGAATTATTAAAGTTTTGCTATGCAGTTAGGAAAATTTTAAGAACTTAAAATTCTAATGTCTATTTTTAAAATCTTTCACAAAGCATTTTAATGATTTTGTTAGCTTCTGATACTACTAACGTTCAAATTATTCCTGAAGTCTGAATTCAATTTGAGGATTTGGATAGATATGGGAAAATATTTCCTATTTTATTATTTTTATTATATTTTATTATTTTGTTAGAATTTAAATAGACAAAACGTAATAAAAAACTTAAATGATAATAATCATGCTTTACAAAGTGAAAATAATTCTCTGAGTTTTCTCTGGGACCTGGTTCATTTTACTGATAGTGACATACTTGGGCGATTTAATTCACATTTGACGAATATTCTTTATGTAAGTAACATAAATTAATACAATCATATCTTCTGTTATAATTACGTTATAAATATTCCATTTTACTTGATAAATTGGCCTTAGTATTTACCTTGGTACACCTATAATTTAGAAATAATGTCATTTTCTTTCATAATTACAGCTGAGAAATTAAATGGAAAACAATAAAAATTTCTAACAAAGTTCAAGAACTTCAACTTTCACACTGAAGTGCTCCAGTACTTATGAAAACAATGTTATTGAAGCACAGAAACTTGTACAAAACAGTTATTTCACATTAAGCACTAAATACATGTTATCTGGAAATACTGAAAATATCTAAAAAATGTGTACACTATTGTATAATAATATAAAGTAAATAATAAGCTATTTGTATTTTGCTTCTATTTTTGGACTTCATGAGCAAGAAATGAGATTAGCAACTTCAATTTTGATGGGAATCAAGGGGTTCCAACTTGACTTTAAGTATAATATTAATTTGGAGACTTTTCTCCTCAGTTTTTTACATTTAAAATATACTGCCTGCAGCTGGTTACTGATGGCTCACACCTGTAATCCTAGCTAGCCAGCATGCTTGGATCTGCGGATCACAGTTTGATGGCAGTCTGGGTAGACAAATTTAAGAAGATTCTTATTTCCAGTTAACCACAAAAAATCCAAAAGTGGAACTGTGGCTCAACTGATAGAGCTTCACCTGAGGCACATGCGCGCACGCACACACATACACACACACACACAATATCCACATCAAATTATTTATACAATATCCCCATTGCATTCTTTAAAAATACATTTAGTATACTAATTACCTTTAGAACATAAGATTGAAGTCAATTTTTTCAAAATTTCAGATAACTTTTATTTAGGAATCAGTTTCTTCTTATGATTTAGTTTTGAGTTTTGCAAGATTTAAATGCAAATATATCATAAATAATCCTCTTAGAGATATAAGACATTGTGTTGGCATGGTTTATTCACTGTAACCATTTTAAAACTTCTTTAAACAAGTAGCTCTTAGGAACTAATCCTGAGGGTTGGATCATCAGCTCCTAAGAACTACAGGTGCTTAGCCCGGCACCATTGGCTCATAACCATTCTCCTAGCTACTCAGAAGGCTGAGATATGAGGATCAAGGTTTAAAACCAACCCAGGCAGAAAAATCTGTGAGACTCTTTATTTCCAGTTAACCAGCAAAAAGCAGCAAGTGGAGGTAGTGGCATAACACCAGCCTTGAGTAAAATAGCCAAGGGAAAACAAAACACCAAGCCCTGAGTTCAAGCCTCAGTACCAGCATGCACACACACACACACACACTACAAATAATAAAAGTGAACTAAAAAAAACTTTTTAAATTCTTAAAGTTATCATTTGGTGAGCACAGTTAAACTAACATTTAAATCTGTTCATTTAGAAGGTTAAATTACTAAATTGAATTAGTTTAAGCTTTAAGTATAGAATGTAACTGATTATAGACCCTATTGTTTCTTCAAAGCTCCCTACAAATGGCTGAGCAGTTCCCCGAGGTACTTGTGCCATTTACAAGAGACAGGAGCAGATATAAACTCATTTTTTTATATTGCATATGGCTTCCTGCAGATATAACACATTCTAATAACTTTGTTTCATCTTGCAGTTACTCTCATGTAGAATCTGTACTGCACCTTGACTCTTGCTATGTTGTTGAGTAGTTAATGAATTCAGGACTGCTTTATGTTCAGCTCTTCACTGAACCATCTTTCTGTCGTAATGATAGTCACCATTTATTGTCTCAGAAGTAAAACAAGTGTGTGTCATTGCTTTAACTCATGCCCCTGGGATATTAGAAATGGGTCTTGTCTCTGTCTAACTCACTGAATTGACAGGATAAAACTTCTAATAGCATAGTATTGGTATGAATAAAAGTTTGATTAAAACACTCTGTACTTGACCTGATAAATTTACTTATGTACTTAATTTTTAATGGTAGTAGCAACTTTGTTGATGAAGAATGATAGGCCATATTTAGGCACTTTATAATAGAAAATTCTGTCAAATTCTTAATAATCTTCTTGGAAGGGATGAAATCAGAAGTCAAGTCAATCAGGCATACTAACACTGACATAAACATTTAAACATAGGTTGCTAATTTTTCCCATTTTCCCCTGGTATTACATGTGTTTGTACACACACATCACCACATCTACCACCACTACTATCTTAAAAAGTAAACCTTTAGCTGAGCACCTGTGGCTCCCACCTGTAATCTTAGTTGCTCAGGAGGCTGAGATATGAGGATCAAAGTTTGAAGCCAGCCCAAGCAGGAAAGTCTGTGAGACTCTTATCTCCATTAAAACTACCCCTAAATAGCCAAAAGTGGTGCTGTGGCTCAAGTGGTAGAACATTAGTCTTGAGCAGAAGTAGCTCAAGGACAGTGCCTTGTCTCAGAATTCAAGCCTCAGGACTTGATAAGTATAAAAATAAAATTTGAAAGTAAACCTTAACATTTCTTTTGTAGTTTGACTAGTTTGGGAAATTGACCAACAATAAATAAACTTAGGTCTCATTCAACAGGTGTAAGCTGCACACAGCTTATACTTTTAATTTCCTTTTCATTTATAAAAACAGAAATTAAAGACAGTTTTAAAGCCAGATTTATTATAATGAATTCCAATTTAAGTCATACTTTATTGAAGACTATGGTTTTCCTAAACAGCCACACTTGCTGTTTTAGGAGATAAGCAAAGGCTTACAAGGCATGTATTTCTTTACATATCATTATTTAAAGAGTTAATAGATCTTATTTTCAGGACTTATGAATTTTGTACTAATCATACAGAGCCATGAAAATGAGAAAGATAATGTTTTATCCAAGGCCATGTTTAGTACTGGAAAATACTGTCAGAAACTACTTGTAGACTTATGAAAGCAGATGATTTCCAAGTAAACAAGTTTTAGGTGATACTACTAGCAGAGGATGGTTTGTACATACATGTAAGCATGTACATATATGTGTGATGTGTAAAGTATGGAAATTCATTTTCTCTATAAACATACAATCAACAACCAGTTGAGTGACTTGACAACATCTTTGAACAGTTAAATTTGGTCTTACATAATCAGTCATAGAGGGATTTGAATTTAAAGAACTAGAGTTTTGATCATTTGTTACTAACATTTGTGATCACCATTCTATGTAATTTGAACCATGCTCATCTTGAAATTAAGAGTAGCTACTATTGTATAGTTTGCATTTTGTTCAATTTATTAATCACGTGTTATTTTGGACATTTATTTACTTGAACCCTGTTCAAATCATTAAAATCTTAAACCATTCAGTTCTGAAAGATGTTTCCCATGTTTTAATAGGCTTTCATTGTGTGTTTTTGCAGCAAGCTTAGTAGTGGAAGAGCGAACGAGACAGATGAAAATGAAAGTGCATCGATTTAAGCAGACAACAGGGTCTGGTTCTAGTCAAGAACTTGATCACGAGCAATATTCCAAGGTAATGTCAAAAGTGTCTAAATGATACTCTCTCCTTTCCAGTCGCATAGTGTGTGTGTGTATGTATGTGTGTGTAGCAGACAGGATCAGCAAGCCCTGAAATATAAGGGAAGTTATTATTGAATAATAAGCTTGAGTTGTATGAGTTACCAAAGCCTGGGAAAACCTCTCTCACCTCTTGATATTTTCGTAAGGCATAACGGTTAAAAGATGTATTAGGAACTTGGATTTACTTTTTTTTCCTAAAATGCATAAAGAGTTGATATTAAAGTTGATATTAGTTAATAGTCAAATTCACAGACATAAGCAGGGTATATGAAGGCATTTTATTACCTGAATGTCTCTTTGCGTGTAAAATGTCATAATAGATATGTATAGTCTTAAATATTATTTGGGGTTCGTATTGAATATTGAGACTTGTTAATGACAAAAAATCATATTATTTGATAGTTTTTATTTCCTGACTTAGGTAAGAAAAGTATCTAATTTCAAACCCTTAGAAGCTGAAAGTCATACAATTTCAAAAGCTAGTAATCACTTAATTTATGTTTCAATATTAACTTACAGGAAAACAGGCATTTATAAATTGTTATCTAATAAGTTTAATTAAAGTACCATAGACTTTTATACTTTATTGAATAATTTTGTATGCATTTTATTGTTTTCTTTAAATCTTTTTGCATGTTCTCCACTTTGCTTATTAAGTTACCTATTGATGTTTATATATGTTATCTCTAATTCATTTCTAGTATTTAATTTTACATTCATTTTTATTTAAGTAGTTGTTTAAGGAAGTGTTAATTCAATATATCAATTTGTGAGTACAATTACACCTTGATCAGTGTCACTCCATCACCCTCCCCAATTCTTATTTTTTTTGGGGGGGTTCCCGGTCGTGGAGCCTGAACTCTGGGCTTGGACACTATCAGCTCTTCAGCTCAAGGCTAGCGCTCTACCACCTGAGCCACAGTGCCACTTCCAGCTTTTTTCTTTTTGCTTATGTGGTGCTGAGGAATCAAACTCAGGGCCTCAGGCATGCAAGGCAAGCGCTGTACCACTGAGCCACCTTCCCAGCCCCAAATTCTTATTTTTTTAATATATATTTTTTATTGTAAAGATACTGTACAGCAGGATTACAGTTACATGAGTAAGGTGATGAGTACATTTCCTATCGAGAATTGTTACCCCCTCCTTTGTTTTTCCTCTACCATACCTTCCCATCCCACCTCCCCAATTCCTCTCTCCCCTACCCCAAAGTTGTAAAGTTTGTTTTCAATATAGTGTCTTGTACATCTCATTTTTACAGTGGTCTTTTATAATACTGCTGAAATGGCAAAAATTATTACAGGTCCATCTTTGTTATTTAATTCTTGGCAGTAATGACATCAGTAATAAAAGAAAATATTATATTAAATCGATATATAAATCAAATACTAAATTAAATCTATTATAGGTACCTTGTAATATAGTCTGAAAAACCTAGTTTTGAGAATAATATAGTTCACTATGCATATTCAGTGACTAGTACAAAAATTAGAAACAGGTACAAAATATAATTTATCATCCATACCCCCTCAGAGTGAGACAAGTATTTTAGATACAATCTATCAAACAACACCCTAAGATAGATGAAAAAAGGTATCCAAGCAAGACAATGCAGAATGCCAGTGTGACTCAGAGAGGCCAGAACATTCCCCAAATCCGAAGCATTTCCAGTAACTTATTTTAAAAATTCCATAAAGCAAAAAGAAGATTGCTAAGCAAAGGACCATAATTTCTGAGTTATCCTTTGCCAGTCCTGTGCAGTGAATCAGCTTCCTTATCTCTCCTTCATGAATATTATCTTTGACTTTTTAAAAAAATCGACAAGTGCAGTAAGAACTAGAAGGCAGGGAATTGATTTTTTTTCCTTTCACATTTAGATTCACTTATTTGAATCCTTTTAACTGGGAAGGTTTCATTGGAGCTAGAAATCCTTATTGATTTCTTAGTATTATGTCAAAATTGAAATCAAATAGAATAGTAAGGGACTAGGACTGAAGAATACTTTTTGGTGTCATTTTGAGCAAGGACTCTAGTCACTAATCAGTTAATGGAAACATGTAAAGAAAGAAATGCTGTACAATTCTTAATCCAGCATTACACTGGAAGACCTTGTCACTCAACAGGAGGCTACCTGATTTGGAAGATGAAAAATTTCCTAGCTCATAGAAAGTTACAAATTAAAGACAACCAAAACTCTTCTATTTATATTACTCATTTACCTAATTTATTACCATGAAGAATGGAGGTGATTTATCCCCATTAGTAAAGCTGTGGGACTTGGGTACCATTGGTTCTGCTTTGTCTATCACTGATACACACACATTATACCAGCCTGACTTAGTTTCTCATATGGCTTTTAATTTCTGTCTCTCCTCGGCTCCTTTCCCTCCATTCTTCCCTCTCATTATATCTGGATATATTGTTTTTAAAAAAATACATTGCTTTCATATATGTATGCTTATACATATAGATTCACATATATACTGTAAGTGAATATGATGATATGTTTGTAGCACCTAAAATGATTTTAGACTGTAGTTCCAATAAAAGTGAAAGCAACAGTAAGGTAGCTTAAAAACTTGGAAGATTATATAAGTGGAAATAATTAAGCTAAAGTAACAACTAATTTGCTATAACCATGTTTTGGATTAATGCTTCTATAATTTTTATTACATTTGTCCTAAATTGATACAACAAATTTATAGATTGCTGTATGATTTTTAAAAAAATTCTAGACATTTTAATTCAAATTTATTTTATAATGAAAACTATTCAGTTTTCATTTTTTATTCTTTTACACCTAACATTTTTAAAAAATTTATTTTCTAAAGATTTCTTTTATGGTTATAGCTAGGTACCAATATTATCATGAATGTAATATAGATTGTGTTTCAAACTTTATTTCTTTAGTAATTCGTGTGTGTGTGTGTGTGTGTGTGTGTGTGTGTGTGTGTGTGTGTGGTAATATAGATTGTGTTTCAAACTTTATTTCTTTAGTAATTCGTGTGTGTGTGTGTGTGTGTGTGTGTGTGTGCTTGTATGTCAATCCTGGGGCTTGAACACAGGGTCTGGGTGATGTCCCTCTGCATTTTTTGCTCAACACTAGCATTTTACCACTTTAGCCACAGCTCCACATCTAGATTTTTGCTAGATAATTGGAGATAAAATCTCACGGACTTTTTCTGCTTGTGCTGGCTTTAAACCACAATACTCAGTTGTCAGCCACCTCAGTGCTAGTATTACAGGCATGAGCCGTTGGTGCCTGTCTCCTTTATTGACTCTGTGAGTGTGTGTGTGTGTGTGTGTGTGTGTGTGTGTGTGTGTGTGTGTGTGTATGCTCATGCTTGCACCAACACTGGGACCTTGAACTCTGGTCTGGGTACTAGCTGTTCCTTAGCTTTTTTTGTTGTTGTCTTTGTCAGTCATGGGGCTTGAACTCTAGGCCTGGGCACTGTCTGTCAGCTCTTTAGCTCAAGGTGAGAGCTCTACAACTTGAGCCACAGTACCACTTCAGGTTTTCTGATGGTTAATTGGAGATAAGACTCTCATGGACTTTCCTGCCCAGGCTGGCTTTCATCCTAAGATCTTAGCCTCCTGAGTAGCTAAGATTACAGGCATGAGCCACCAGCACCTGGCTCTCTTAGCTTTTTTTTTTTTTTTTTTAAATCAATGTTGTTATTCTACCACTTAAGCCACAGCTACACTTCTTTTTTTGATGGTTAATCAATTATAAGAGTCTCATGTACTTTTCTTCCTTGGATGGCTATGAATCATGGTCTTAAGGTATCAGCCTCTTGAGTGTTGACTTTTTGTAATGTCCTTATGTACTTACAGCATGGTTTTTGCTTGCTTTTGTTTGTTTGTTTGTTTTTGTTGATCATGGGGCCTGAACTCTGGGCCTGGGTGCTGTCCCTCAGCCCTTCACCTCAAGGCTAGCACTATACCACTTGAGCCACAGCGCCACTTTTGGCCTTTTCTGCTTATGTGGTGCAGAGGAATGGAACCCAGGGCCTCATGGATGAAAGGAAAGCACTCTACCACTGAGCCACCTGCCCAGCCCCACTGTTTTTTCTTTTATAGTAGTACTGGGCTGGGAGAGTACTAGCTAGTCAAGCACTCTACTACTTGGAATATCCCCTCTCTTTTTTTACTTAATTGATTTTGTAGATAATTCTCACTATTTTTCCAGGGCTGTTCTCAGATACAGATCCTCCCCCCTCCACTTTCCGCATAATTGGAATTAAAGTTGTGCTTCACATCTCTTGGCTGCTTCTGCTGATAGGGTCTCACTGACTATTTTTCCCTCAGGTTAGCCCTTGAACTCTGATCCACCCATCTTTACACTCCTTGCATTTTTGACTAAGCAGTACACCTTAGTTGAAAATTCTGTTGTTAGAAATTAGTTAACCATTCCCCAAATACCTTTTTCGTTCATTTAAATCTTATTGTAAAGGAGCTGTACAAAGGGGTTACAGTTACATGTCAGGTAACAAGTACATTTCTTTTTTTTCTTTTTTCTTTTTCATTTGTCGGTCATGTGGCCTGAACTCTGGGTCTGGGTGCTGTCCCTCAGCTCTTCAGCTCAAGGCTAGCGCTCTACCACTTGAGCCACAGTGCCACTTCCAGCTTTTTCTGCTTATGTGGTGTTAAGGAATTGAACCCAGGACCTCACGCACACAAAGCAAGCATTCTCCCACTGAGCCACCTTCCCAGCCCCATGAGTACATTTCTTTTTGGAACAGTATAATCCCCTCCCTCATTTTATTCCATTTTGTTCCCCAATTCCCTTCCCCCAAGTTGTAAAGTTCATTTCCAACATATTGTTTAATGAGTATCACTGTTGCATTGGTTCACCTTTTGTCCCAACATTTCTGTGATTCTCCTTTCCTTCCCCAAATTGGATAAACTTATATACAAGACAAAGGGTGCAGAAATCAAAAACAGTGATAACCAGGGAATAAACCAAAGGGGAAAAGAAGAAAGAAAAAAGAAATTACTACACATGTGTAGCCAATCCTGCCAGCCCGTTTATTGAAGAGGCTGTCTTTCTTCCATCCTATTTTTTGTCTCCCTTGTCAAAGACTAAGTGGCCATAGGTCTGCAGATTCATTTCTAAGTCTTCAAATCTATTCCATTGGGCCTCAGGCCTGTTCTTGTGCCAGTACCAAGCTGTTTTGATTACTATGGCTTTGTACTAGAGTTTGAGGTTCAGTATTGAAATTCCTCCAACTTTGTTCTTTCTGCTAAGAATTGTTTTTGCTATTCAGGGTCTTTTGTTGTTCCATATGAATTTTTGGATTGCTTCTTCTATTTCATTGAAGAAAGAAGTTGGGATATTGATGGTTATTGAATTGAATTTGTATATAGAGAAAAACTAAAGCTAGCTCCCTACATATCACCCTGCACCAGAATCAACTCCAGATGGGTCAAAGACCTCAAGGTAAAAGCAGATACCTTGAAAATATTACAAGAAAAAATTGGAGAAACACAAGGGCTCCTTGGCACAGGTCAAAACTTTCTTAATAAAGATACAGAAACACAACAAATCAAAGAAAAGCTTGATGAATGGGATTGCATTAAACTGCAGAGCTTCTGCACAGAAAAAAGAGGCTCTCATTAGACCCTGTATACAGTTTGTTCTTTTTCTCTATTGTTTTTTTTCCCTTGGTTTCCCTTATTTGCAATAATTAGTATACGTGCCGGATAATTTTATCAGATGAGCAGAAAAGCTCAAAAGCTATATACATATGACCATATAAGATGTTGCTAAGTGAAACAAACCCCAAGATACGGACACAAATGATTCTTCTTTGTTGTTGTTGTTTTTTAATGTACTATGTGATTGTTCTGTTTCCTTTGTATGTTCTTCCCCCTATGGTATATCTACTGTTGTCACTGTACTTGATATTGGTATCCTGCATCTTGTATATACATTTGTCCAATTTGGAGAGGGGAAGGGGGATAACAAAACACTGAAACAAAGACACAGGATGACCCATTACAACAATGATACCCACAGGACAGTATATTGGAAATGAACTTTACAACTTTGGTGGGGGGAGTGAGGGAGATAGGGGAGGGAAGGGATAGTGGGAAAACATCAAAGGAGGGGGTAACAATGCTCAACAAGAAATGTACTCATTATCTTACTGATGTAACTTTAACCCCTCTGTACAGCATCTTTACAACAAAATAAAATTAAAAAAGAAATATCAAGGACCCAAATGAACTTGTATAATGCAAGTTATATCTGTTGATATTTGTCAGGTTAGAAGTTAAAACTGAAAGCTGTATAAAATGCTGGTTCACTTTAAAACAGTAGTAATAAACCTCTACATGTTAATATAAAAAAACCAAAGAACTACAAACAGTACTATAAAAGAAAAACCTCTTGTTTCCATTTCTTGGACTTCATTTTGATAAGCATCAGTTTGTATAAGCATCATTTTGTATGGTCATATGCACATAGCTATTGAGCATATTCTGCTAAGAATATCCTTCTATGTTCTCACTGTATGGTGCCAAAATACCTTTATCTAAACAAGTACAGTTAAAATGCTTTTCAGGAAAGAAATATCAACTGTACCTGGTACTTCAATTAGTAAGTTTAAATAACTCTAACATCCTTTCTGATTAAAAAATTAGCACCAAATTTGCTTTTGAAAAAGCACAAAACTGTTTTGGTGTCCTTGAAATGTGTCACCAACCTATTTTTTCATTGATATTATTCAGAGTCACATACCTCACTGATGGGTTGCAGGTTGGAGCCCAAATTCACATTTCTGAGCTCACATTTTAAAGAGTGCTTAGATTTCTTTAACACAGAAGCAGCCAGGAAGATTGATGGGAAGGTCTTTATAGGTAGCTATGGAGTGTTTATTACTTGCTTCTAAAAACAGAAGCTCTATGTTTAGAGCCTCTGTCACATCAATGACTTACCGCCTTCCTATACAATAAGTACAAATTTTTTCTGGGGATATGGTGTTCTTCAAATTATCATCATTCCAATAAATTATGGAGCTACTAACTAGGAAATTTAACAAATCATGCTTGAGGAAAAACCAAGGTGATTATTTAAATTTTACCATGCTTGGATAAATCAAGAAATGTAGTCTTAAAATGTAAATTGTCTTTCATTCAAACTAAAGTGACGAAATTTTTCTCTTGACATTATCATTTTTGCCTGTTTACCAGAATAGCTAAGGTCTATATAAGCAAATTGAAGACGAGATGGCTTTTATAAAAGACAGATTTTTTTTCTTGGTTAGAGAAACATTTTCATGCATCCTTATGCTGTGTCTTCTGTATAATACTGGTAATTGCCAAACCACCATTTGTCATGAGTGGCAATATAATGCTAGAATATGCTATACAGATGATAAATTCTTAGAGCATTAGATCTCAATTATTTACTATTCTGTCATAGACAAGCTATCATTCCAGTATGTTTGGAAACATGAGTACAGAGCCTATTGTATTGTTGTGATTGTTTAAAAACAGTAATTTACAAGTTATGTGTGTAGCCAGATTCTACCTTATGATCAATTTAAGATTTTAACATTTATTTAAAAATTGGAAATAACTCTGGTTGAAATTAATGATGCCAGTCAGGATAATAATATCTGTTATGAAAATTTGCTACCAAACGCAGTAATAATTCAGTTTTCAATATGCTTAGCTGTTGACTTCAGATCAAATGCCAATTTGAATAGCAACCTTAATTCTGGGCATAGTAGCATATATAAATTACCTCTGAATTATAATTCAGCATATGGCTTTTTTCTCCTTTAGAAAATTAACTTTATTGATGCTCTGTAATATAGTGATTATTCTTTGTAACCCATATGAAATTGACTAATTAGTACAGAAGGGGTATTAAAAATGAAATCTATTATTTAAATATTTTAGCACTGAACTACTTCTACCTGAGGACTTATGAGGGAAAAGTGATCAAATTGTCTAGCATTATTTTATAAAATACTATTAGAATTACTTTTCTATACATATAAATCCAAGTTTTAGTATAAGAGGCAAGAAGGATAGGTAATTTTTCTGTAGGTTTAATGAACAATTGGTATTTTCACACCTTTATTGCTCATAAGTATAAAAAGTATGAGTATAAAATTAAATTGCATGATAGAAAATGTAAAATACTCAAGTATGTAGTTATACAGGAATATATATATAATTTTGTATAAGAATTTTTAGTATCTTACCCTCTAAAGCAAGAGACTATCAAAGATAAAAGAAATATTCATGTTTTAAAACTACTTCTGATCATATAAACTTGCTACTTAGTATAATTATCACATATATAATTCATAAGCTAGTCACAATGGGGGCCATTGTGAAAAAGAAATAAAAGAAAAACAGAGCAGAAATAAGTATAGGTAACTAACTCCCTTGATAAGTGTGCATGTTTTCATCTTTCACCTGATGTTTCTGAAAGTCTTAGAAAATGAATATCAAAGATAAGTTCAGTGCCATTTAAATTCATGTTTATTTGAAATGCAAGTAGAAATAGTATATTTTTCTTTTGAAACTGGAATAATTATTTAAATATGAAAATGTCTAGCAAAGCCATCAGAAGTAGGAAAGGTCAGAAGACCAGCCATTGCCTTTATTGCTCTACTCCACTTTGCCAAAACCCTCACTGAAGCCCTGTGTTCAGTGAAGCCATATATAGAATAAAGTCTGTAGGTAAATCGAGTAGCTTTAGAAGCAGTGAACAAGTATAGACAGATGTAAGTATATACAAGAACGAGAATTGAAAGTGAATAAAACAAGCAATAGTAAAAAGAAAAGCAATAAATGAAGAGTTAGAATACTAGGGAAGAAAAATGTTTTAAGAACTTGAAAAAAATTCATTGTATTTTCCATCCAGCATTGTTATCTTCCGGCATTGATATTATATGTTCAGTTTTCATAAGCCATTTCTTATTACTGAAAGCATATAAGATTCTTATATTAGAAATCACTTATTACCTTAACATTTAAATTAGTATTGTTTCCACACCTTTTACAGAAGTGAACTTTAATTTTATGTGGTTTAAGTATTCATTAACCTCACCATCATGTCTTTTGGTTTTGTCTTGTTTTCACCATGATCTAATGATGGAACTTATGCTCTCTTGTTTTTAATCTTTAGTATAACATACATAAAGATCAGTACAGAAGCTGTGATAACGTCTCTGCCAAATCATCAGATAGCGATGTCAGTGATGTGTCCGCCATTTCTCGAACCAGCAGTGCCTCACGCCTCAGCAGCACAAGCTTTATGTCAGAGCAATCTGAGCGCCCCAGGGGAAGGATCAGGTGAGTTGGCAATGCTGTTTATATTGACTGGATCTTAATCCTTGGTATCAAATGCATCTAGCTTTAGAATGTTCTCTAGAATGTCTAGAATATTACATCAAAAGAATTCAACAGCTTGAGCTTTCCATAGTTACTCTGTAATATCACCAGCAACAAAGTATTTGGTAGTCTCTACTGTCAGATACATCTTATTCTTACAGTTATAACTTTAGAGATTGCTAATTTCCCTTATAATTTGATAACATTCACAGATGCAGCCTTTAGTGTAGCATCTGAAAGTCTGTTTTGGTTTTTCATGTAAGTAACCAAATGAAAAATGTTTCAAGACTGGGAAGGTAGATCAGTGGTAGAGTGTTTGCCTTGCATGCATGAGGCCCTAGGTTCCATGCCTCAGCACCACATAAGCAAAAAGAAAAAAGCCAGAAGTGGTGCTGTGGTTCAAGTGGTAGAGCATTAGCCTTGAGCTGAAGAGCTGAGGGACAGCACCCAGGCCCAGAGTTCAGGCCCCACAATCGGACCCCCCCTCCCCCCCACCAAGAAAAAGGAAAAAGAAAAATATTTCAAGTTTTGCAAGACAGTATCTGTCAGAGTTTCTCAATGCTATCATTGTCATATGAAAGTTATATAAACATAATATATCTTTTTTGGGGGCTGGAAAGGTTGCTCAGTGGTAGAGCGCTTGCCTTGCATTCCTGAGGCCCTGGGTTTGATTCCTCAGCACCACATAAGCAAAAAAGAAAAAAAGCCGGAAGTGGCGCTGTGACTCAAGTGGTAGAGCCCTAGCCTTGAGCTGAAGAGCTGAGGGACAGCGCCCAGGCCCAGAGTTCAGGCTCCACAACCAACCCCCCCCCCACAAAAAAAAAAAAAAATATATATATATATCTTTTTTATTTTATTGCGAAAGCAGATTTTCCTCACAGGCTATCATTTGTTCCACTCTTCTTCAGCCCCTTAATGGTTATTCTGCTGTAGGAGTAGATTGTGTACTTGATAAGAAAATGCACATTGCTAGTTTATATCACGTCATTTGTAAGACCTCTGCATCACATGTGTAGAATCATTAATAGTGTTCTTTGGTTCTAACATAACAAATACCTTTGCTGGAAAAAAGACCTTATTCATGTTCTGTCTTCATGAATGCAGACTCATCGAAGAAGCATAACTGGAATTTGTTGTTAATCAGTTTTCAGAAATAGAAGTTAGATGGAAGGAATTTTCTGGTTGAAGAGAATAAGTCCCAACAAGTATAAATGTTAAAAATAGCACTCTAAATGCCTGATGCTGTTGCACAGTAAAATGTGTCCCAAAGATTTCCTCTTCCTGGATTTCTTATCTTTCTGTTAACCATTTCACAGTCTGACAATCTAGATGGTCAATTTTAAGTGTTAGGAAGAAAACAAAGAAAAGCCAGACTTTAGGCTACTTTTCAAGAATCTGTGATTTATACAGAGTGGATTATATATGTGTATTAGAGCCAAAGTTAATTTAGGGGGAACTTGCCAACTTGAGAGACCAACACTGAATACAGTTGTTATCACATGAAGTAAAATATAGAAAAGTTTCTAGATTAGTCAGAGTAGTCTTATTTGTTGAAGGTGCAAGGGAGATAGGTAGATCTAAAAGGATGAGAACTAATTTCTTACCTGTGCATCTATTTTCTATAAGTACTTTGCTGTTTTCTGCTTTCATTTTCATTTCTTCCTTTGTAGCTTAAAACCTATAAAAACTAAGACTTTATCAAAGCATATATGGAAATTTAGCCACTAAAATTCATAGCTAAACAAATTTCCCCTTAAGCTAATATAAGAGCGATTATTGAGAACTCTCACTTTATATCAGTAAATTCCATATGTGACACACATTTGATCTTTTTTATAATATTATGAAGGAATACAGAAAAAGATGCTATTTTGAAAAGACAAAACTTCTGACATCCTTGAGCTTATTATTCTTTTAAATGCATTCTGTCTTACAAAACTTCAGCTCCTGTAACACACAAAAGCATGCATGTGAGTACACACACACTCACACATATACATACATAGACACATACACACATACCTCAATAGCAAAACCTGTAATACAACTTGGAGTGTCAGTGGTATAGAATAAAAGAAGAACAGAACAGAATAGCCCCTCATCTATAACCCTACTCAGGAGGCTAAGATCTGACATCAAGGTTTGAAGCCAATCAGGCAGACAAACCTGTGAGACTAATCTTAAACTAACCAGCAAAATGCCCATAATGGAGATATGACTCAGAGAGCCAGTCATGAGTGAAAATGCCAACAAAAAGCCCCAGACCCTGCGGTCAAGTCCTAGAGGCAGGAGGAAAAAGTGACATCAGGATAGAGTGATCAAAATGTTGTAGTTTACTGGCATAGAATAAGAGCAGTTTTTCTATCACTATCTCCTATCCTCATCACTAGTACCATGAAGAATGACTGTGATCTGTTTATCATTCTCATTTTTATTCTTTAGTACCTAACATACTTAATAGATTTTATAATTCTGTCTATTCATCTTAACTATTATTTTTTGGTGAATTCAGGGCCTAGATGCTGTCCCTGAGCTTCTTTTGCTTGAGGCTGATGCTTTACCACTTGAGCAATTGAATCATTTCTGGCCTTTTCTGAATGGTTTATTGAAAAAAAGAGTCTCATGGACTTTCTTACCCTGGCTGGCTTTGAACTGCAATCCTCAGATCTTTGCCTCCTGAGTAGCTAGGATTACGGTTGTGAGCCATCAGTGCTCATCTTCATCTTAACTTTTAACAATTAAGATGTGCTCAACTCTTATGATAGGATATATTTATATCTCATAACTAGAATCCAACTTTTAAGTTCTTATTATATGTAAGGATTTTATTGCTTTGTTTTTTTTGGCAGAACTGGGGTTAGAGTTCAAGGACTCATGTTTCTAAGCAAGTGTTATCGCAATTCAGCCCCACATTCATCTTCATTTTGCTTATTTTTTAGATAGTCTCACACTGCTTGCCAGGCCTGCCTCAGTCTCAATTCTAGTACTTACACCTCCCATGTAAATGGAATTACAGGCATCTAGAACTGTACCTGTCTAGAACTTTATTATTTTCCAAAACTTAGCCCATATTCCAAAAGAGATTATAATTAGACAAGAGTTTATGTTCTGGTTTCTTTTGTACATCTTCTCTCTTTTTTACTTGACATAGACATGTTTGTTATGCATTCCCTTGGATAGACTTTATTTGATGAGTCAATAAAAGAACTCAGAAAGCATCACAGCATTTCCCAAAGACAATGTGCAGTGTGCTAAAAATCAACTTAATACTAGGGTTCTTATGAGGGACTGTAAAAGAAATCTGATGACATGAACTTAATATTACTAAATAATATCATACATGCTGCCACTTAAACACCAGTGTTTTCAAAGCAATTCTCACTACATGTTACTCCTAATGATTTGCATCCCACATCATTGTCTTCAGAATTTTGTTTTGGGATAAGGATAGTATTCACATCTACGGTCCATGTAGTGATGACAGGATAGCTCTGTGTAAATAGAAGAATGTTGTCTCTTTTCTCTAGATGTATATTCCTCCCTTTTAAGTGGTTCAGTTGTTTTCCTCTCTTAGTTCACTGAATAGTTCATTCAGATGGCTGAAAACATAACTCAGATTTTAAGTTTAAGATTATAAAGAAAGAAAACAGACTATAAAGGCAGAAATGCCTAATTACTCACTGAGGGTTGCTATTCAAAACTAGTCTGGGCAGAAAAGTCTGTGAGACTCTTATCTCCAATAAACTAGCAAAAAGCTTGAAGTAGAACTGTGGCTCCAGGGGTAGAATGACAGTTTTGAGAAATAAAAGCTAAGGGACAATGCCCAGGCCCCAAGTTCAGGCACCAGTACAAGCAAGGAAGAAGAGAAGGGAAAGGATGGGAGAGAAAGGAAGGGAAAGAGAGGGGAGGAGAGGCAAAGGATGGGAAGGGTGGAGAAGGGAAGGCACAAAGACAGAGACAGAGAGAAGAGGAAGGAAGAGGGGAAGGAAGGGAGGAAGGAAGCAAGGAAGGAAGGACAAATGGAAACATTTTGGGCAAAATGGTTTCTGTAGCTTCATCCCAAAAGAAGCTTAGTTATTTTTTCATATTTCTCATATTCCTCTTTCACTGAAGGCAGACAAAAGTCAAGTGTTTATACAAAATCATTATTTCAAAGAAAACATAAAAATAATATTAATTGCTCTCAGACATTACACATCTTCTGGAAGATTTGTCAATACCTACATTTTTCCAACATTTAAGTTTGTGATATGTGTTCTTCTGGCTTTACTAAAGTTGATGTTGTTGAGTTTAAACAATCGGACTTAAAGGGCAAATTTGATGTGAATATTTTTCTCTTTTATTAGCTCCTTCTAAAAGTATAGTATCACTATCAAAGTGTTTATCACTATTTTTACACTCATCATTGAGAAGATAGAAAACTTCTTCTACAACCTCTCTTCTATTAACGAATAGTAACTTTGAAACCATAAATATACTAACATTGGCATTTGTTGTTAAATACCCATAAAAATTGGTATATTGAAGGATATGTCCTTAAATTTATTTGGAGATTCTTTAATCTTACAGTCTTTCAAAATTTAAATATTTAACCCTGTGGACTGCTAGGTGCTGGTGGCTCATGCGTCTAATCCTAGCTAGTCAGGAGGCTGAGATCTGAGGATCACAGTTCAAAGCTAGCCTGCACAGAAGAGACCATGAGACTCTTATTTCCAATAAACCACCAGAAAACTGGAAGTGGTGCTATGGCTCAAGAGGTAGAGTGTTAGCCTTGAGCTGAAGAGCTGAAGGACAGCACCCAGGCCCACAATTCAAGCCTCATGACTGACAAAATAAAAAATAAATAAACCTGTCGACTCTAAGAATATATAATATTATATAATCATAACAAAATATTGCTTTGGCTGTGAATATAAGTTATGAGAGTCTAGATTATGGTTGGTTATAGAATGTGGGGGCCA